CAGGATTGACGGTCGGAGTACCAGTTAAATTCGTACAGCCCGTCGGTTTATTTTCCTAGGCTTCGGTTGACTCCTTAGGCACTTATTTCGCTGGTATCTATTAAGAGTCTTTATGTCGAAGTCAAGCGCATTTATCTTACTGCCTTTCGTACGCGCTTTGACTTTTATTTCCGTCTAGCAAAATGATGGCTTTCCTATTTTTTTTTCAAAGTTGAACTACACGGACGACGGATCTCCTCGTTAAGGTGACTGGCACGCAGTTTAACGATTCCAGCAAAAAACTAGTCACGAAATGGGTGGGTTTTTACGACTAACGGACAGTTGCCAGGGTATGGCGCAGCACAAAAGACTTCTATAGAATGCAGCGATCCCCTGGTGACTGTTGGCCGTAAAAATATGAGCGTAAAGGAAACAGTAGATTCCCTACATTACAGTAGCAGAGTCCAGAAATGGTTAGAAGAAGTTGCGGCTAAAGGGTGTACTTAGATTGCTGCCTCTCATATAGATAAATCCCGTTAACCCGTCCTATTCAATTGATCAAAGCGCAAACATCACATCAGCCCTGCATCTTTTTCGCTTGTTTCTCGGGTCTGTAAAGGAGCTTTTGTGCAGAAGTAGCCCAAGGGTGTCGCTCTCTGCATACCGTGTCCCATACTGAACCTGCCTTTTGGCTACAGATCATATACCGCGATCGAGAGATGTAAAATTCAACTGCCCTAACAGTATTCCGTAAGTCATCTGAAGCCCCTCAATCATTTATGGTGTTGTCTGGAACTTGTAGGACAATCAGAAGCAGTAAGAACGAAAGTAACTAAGACAGCTTTGGAGCAGCAACAAAAAACGCAGTTATAAAAACCACCGGGGGAGTAAAGCGAAGAGATTAAAAATAGAATGATCAGATTGACAAAACCACCGAGCGGCCAAAGTATTTCTATCGAAGTAGTTTTACGTGGTAAAGTACTTATTCTCTCCCACAAGGGCATTCATTTTCAGTTTTTGGTATGGCGTTTTGGAGATCACAGCCGCTGTACTTCACTTCGTAGTGCTTGGCATTATTCCGAAGCTAAAAGGGCAAAATATGAGGACAGAAAACTGATGAGTATACATTGTCAAAGGATAGATAGGAAGCAATACACGCTCCTTCAAAGCACGCGACGTAAGTATGTTATTACTTTTGATAAAAAAAATGCTGACAATTACGAAATAAAATATCAACGCACACATTTATCTAAGTTGGATGTCGAATGCTGTTCGAAAGGACACACGTGTTTCCTAATCTCTGGCCATCGTGTTTTCGTTACCATGAAATTGTCGACCCCACGATCATCTTTTTAAGTACTTGTGGAGTCTTGAAAGCCGGAGTGTTAAGATGAGTGAAAGAGCTTAAATGGAAATTTCCAACTATCCCTACTTGCTGTGATATCGAACATTCTGGTTAGATGCAGTTGCTTTAACACCCAAACCTTAAAAAATAGGATGCACTGTTCGATTTTTCCTCTTCCTTTGGATATTAATAAAACATACTAACTACTCAGGACTTCAAGAATTTTACTGCAAGTAACGAAATCATGTAGGCTTCCAATTAATGTAAACATAAATTCGAATATATTCAGATAGCAGTTTAATAGGACTGGTGGTTTCATATTAATCGCACTGCTCAAATAAGCAGTTATAGAAAGCAGGTGCACGAAATTTAACTGTCATTAGAGGAATACTCTCTACTGAAATGCTTTCAATCTTCATAACTGTCTCTTTATCAAAAAACCTGGAGGACAAGATCTACTCTATGCGTTGCAGTTTCAAGGATTGCATTGAGGAAGTCGAAGCAGACATGAATTTTGAGCTGCTCTAAAGTACAACTTCAACGACCATGCGTTGACATGTTTGGGTGTTGCTAAAACAATGACCCAAGCAAACGGCTGTGTAAGAAAGAATGTCCAACAGTTCACTACTTCGGGAAATGCCTTAAGAGATCACATTTCGAAGGTTTTGGTAAACACGTAGAATAGAATCCTTGTTTATGAACAACTGGCCGAAAATCATCAAGTGTTCACCACTATTTAAAGAGCCATCGGAACCTCGTCGAAATCGAAACCCCGAAATAATTACAAATAAATATGACGGAAGGAAAATTCTTTCAACGATTGCGACTGACAATTCCAATCCGGAATGGCCACATGTGGGTTTACGAAATATCTCGCTCCCGCGACACAAACAAAGGAAAACCTGGTCGCCTCAGCCTACTATATCTCAGCCAAGTTGTAAAGCGAAGAAACATTTGGCAATTCTCGAGAAACCAGGAGTATATACTCGAACTTTGAGCCGTTTAGTAACAGCAGTACTTTACATGGCGCGTAATACGGAGGCATATTAATCCGAAAATTTCATGAAGGGTTTATTTTCAAAGGTAACTCTACTTGTGCTGCTTTATACACTTGGTGTTTTGCATGAACAAGCCCTCTCTATATTTAAAATTTAAGGTTACTTCATAATCCCACTTCTTTCAGAATTTACCCCTGTTCTAAAAACTAGTATTTCTGAACAACGTAACGGTTCCTTTACGGTTGTAGAGCTTTGGGAGACGCAACCTGGGCTGCTTGTCTGTAACAGAGATTTTCTTGTAAAAATCCTTGGATTTCATGAGATAGGCAATCAACTGTACCAATAGATGAGAAAATACGATCGCTGGGACAACACATCCGTCGCGGATTCTTCATCAGATACATGAGCAGAAAGCCGTAGCAGAAGCGGGTAACACATG